CCCCCCCCCTATTGCATTAACAAGAACAACTTACATCAATCGTTTTCATGACCAATTTCTTGGCGGTGTCATGCACTAAAACAAGGAAAACATTAGCAATTAAAAAGTTAGGTGATGGAACATGCAATGTTTGAAACAGATATTAACCAAACAGCCTGGGCATCAAGTAAATTCGAATTCAAACACACACACACACACACATTTGCTAACCTTCAAGAGTCGACAAATCTGGACGGCTTCGCAAAGCCATCGTCTCCAGTTCTTTTGACTAAATTCCTTACGATTTGGCATAATAACAGTCGCCTTTATGGCAAAAATTACTTTAGGATCAAATGTGTCTTCACTGTAGAGTCAATAAAAGGTTTTCACTTAATAACCTTCATTTTCACTATGGTGCAAGCCATCAAACAGGCTGTTAATGAACAATTAGTAGTTAGTCACTTGGTCAACCAGGTTTGAAGCAAACAGACTAACAAGATCAGCAAAGGATATATATATGTATATTAAGCGTCAGATCTCCCGATGCGGTGAGAATAGTGGGTGTTGACATGGAATAATCCCACCCTTTCACCTTTTTATTCCTTTACTCTTTTTGGTTCATCTTGCCAATTGCGTCTTCTGTATGGCCTTGCAAAGGCAATGCAATGCTCCTCTAATAACTAGTTATTTAGGCAGTATTGCCATAGCAAAGACGGCTCTCATTCGCAGTAGGAACTCTTTGGAGGAAAGTTCAGAAATGGAGGAGTGAAAAAAGGATGTGATTGATAAGTGCTACCAAAAGGTAAAATTAAAAAGAAGGGGTAATAGAGGTAATTTAAACATCCTTTTAATTAATCTTAAACCTAGCACATTTGTTAAAGTGTGCTAAATTATTAGAAGTCCGCAACACTGCGTAATTCGGGAGCAATGCCATACCCTTTATGGTAATTTTGGAGTCTAATACGGTGTCGACACAATCAAAACGAAATGGAACCGTTGAGCTGCGAGTAATAAACATAAGCGCAAATAAAAGTAATAAAGCACTATTAGGGGCAGTGCGAGCTAAACTGATAAGATCGATGGGAGAGGGGCTCCAAGACGCAACTCGTCTGCCCAAGATGAGCATTAGAAAATGTTGTCACAATAGGCTTGAAGACAAACGGTACACGCCATAGGGGAAGCAAACCCAGGTAATAAACGAGAAAATATTTAGATGATCACAATTTTAAAATGCAACCAAAAGAATTGCATTGTTACTACTAGTAGTAGTAGTTATCAATAAACAAAGCCAAGTACAGGCATTAAAGAATGTTTGAAGTAGGAAGAATAGAATTTTGACTTTATAGGCTGTATCCACACATCTATAATTTGTTCAAATTTAGTTCAAACATAGAAATTTGATGTTGAGTACAAATTACAAAATACAATAATCGAATTAAACATACCAAAAACAGACAAAAATTATATTTGAATCCAGAGAACACAAAACGAAAACTTACATTTACTTCAAATTTGATCTAAGAATGAATGAGCGCATGCCATAATCACTTGGATATGCAAAAAAAAACATTAAGCACTTCAAATCCACCTGACTAGAGCATTTGTTGATCAAATAAACATCCATACCTTCCCTCTTAATTTAAAACCTAATTGTCCATAAGATAGCGTCTAATAAATTCCCTTCTTAAGTGGCACTTTCTAAAGTAGATTATTTAAATAACTTCGCATTGTTCTGGACTTTTAAAACTTGTCATCTGCTGAATCATGTCATATCAAATCTTAACTAAACTCTGGAGATTTTGGACAAAGGCAATTCAACATGAAAGACAATACCAAATTTAAGACCTAAAGATATTAAAATATTATGGAAGTAATGAAATCTAGGAACTTACGTTGCTCCGAGGCGTGTGAATCAAGAACTTCCGCCTTGTCAGTGAGAATTTCATGTGAAGCAGCTTCAGCTGCCTTTTTCTCCTCCTTTTCAGCGATACGCTGAGCATCAATGTGCTTCTGTTCCTTGCGAAGAATTTCTATCTTGGTAGCAGGATCCACTTTGCCCGGCAACTCGGACACAGCCTTCACTGTAGCATGATCTTGAACTTCCTCAGGCAATTGGGAAATGACCTGAAATCAGCAAGAAAGTACATAGTACTTTAAAGGAACGCACGGCTAAGTAAAGAGAAGGTTAGTATTTCGGCCCTCAAAATTAGCATTATTTCTGCTAATTTTGGACTTCGAACAAACTAAGCTTGAATTACCTAGTCCCTTGAGCAACGAGAACAGGTAATATATATGGAAATCAAAGGAAGTTTGTAGTCTGCAATAGCTAAAAACCTTGACAACACCGATTTCAATTTATTAATGTCGAAAGCTAAATCCCAGAAGCGGTGAATAGCGATGCCCGTTTAAGGTTACAAAGATGACATGCTTGTGTGGATGACTCCGAAAAATCGTCAACAGCTGAATGATCCGTGAGAAGCGTTCAGTCGAAGTTGAAAGTGAAGTACTAATTTCTGATTTCTTTGCATTGCTTTTTTAGCGAGAGGACATTTAATGGGGGAAAAACAAAGCATTTACAAGTGCAACTTTCAGCAATGTTATGGCTAACTAGACCGCAAAGAAATTGTTTTTGCACATCATTGCCCCAGGTAATGACCTTAACCCCCAATCAATCACGCGTCATCCTACATAGTACAAAACCAACGAAATAACCATTCGCATTGATAGATTAAACATAGGCCTCAAATCAAGGGATATTAAGTAAGACAGTAGAATATAACTCACACTTAATAAAACAAGTGAACAGGCTAACCAGTCAACTAATTGCAGAAGGAACGTTGTGTTGGCCTACGCATAGCTACTTCTCAATAATAATAATGATAATAAAGTTGCCTTTCACTTAATAGGCTCGATGATTGTAATTAAACGTTAGCGCTTTAAGGTAATGATATCTGCAAAAGCCTGAAACTGTTCAAGAACTTATTCAATGCACCACTGTTTCGGTGACGAAAATTAGAAGAAAATCGAGAATACTCTGGACCAAATCCTTATGTCCGCATCATACAAGTCATACCATCTTTATAAATGAACGGGTATATCAGTGCATATTCAAGGTTCATACTGGAAAAATAACACAATATTAGATGATTAATCCAAAAATCAGATTAGACGAACTGTTGAACCGCTTAAAACAAAGGATAGATCAGACCAGTAAAATGAATGGAGGAAGTTTACTGCAACGGAGAAAAGCGTGGACGTGAAAACACAACACATAGCGACAAATTCAGACATTAACAAGCCTTGCAAATGCGTTTACAAATGGTTCATCCGATTCTTAGACTTTACGTCAACAGTGCACGGTGTTACCGTATCTGTATAATTAGGTGAAATAGATGTGAGACCCACAAATGACCAGGACAATATACGTTTCAAAGTGGTAGAGTTCTCCCTACCAGAATAAAAAATTCGAAGACACATTCCCCTCTGAAGAATTAACGGATAGAAGGGTGCTACTGCCAATGAAATAACGAATGAAATGCGACAATAGAGGCTTTCCATTTAAAAGTTTAGTTGATCGACTAAATGAACGTTTCAAAAAATGAAACCCGGTTAAATAGAGAGAAATGTCACTAGAAACGCAATAAAGAAGCAGAACAATGGAGAAAACTGTAAAATTACCGTAAGTGACGAAACCCACTCTATCTCAACAGGTGTGGTAATACGAAAATTTCAACTAACGATCGTTAATTAGATGTCAATTTGACATATTTTGTAAGGTGAAAGCAACGTATTATCGATCACCACACAGACATCGCTATTAAAGCCTTTAATAGCCCAAAACTGGAGCAGTCTCTCGATCATCTTCTATCAACTAAATGCACTTTTCAGAGAGCTACTTAAATATCGACGCTTACTCCCACCTTTAACATAGTAAACTACAATAAATCAGGGAGTAAAAGCCAAAAGGAAATTACCGAACATCTAAACTCAACAATCAGTACACTGATGACTTACCATTTGAATTTGCTTTTCCGGTTCGAGAGTAGTAGATTGTAAATAAAAGGCTCGAGAGAGTAAGAGGAGCGAAACAGGGACCTTCTTAACGACATGCAACTCAACCCACTGCATAAGTTGAGCTTTCAAACGAGCCTGCGTCAAATCTAAGGTACGCATACCACGACTACGACAAGCTTGACGTAACTCTTGTTCCAACATATGGTCTATTCCTTTAGATAGAAAAACCTAAAAGAACGAAAATAAAAAAAAGATTCGGGTAGGAGTGCATATTTGGAAAAGAACGAGAAGATCAAAATAATTCTAACCATATCCTGCTCCTTGAGTTTACGAAGTTGACGATGAATTTGCATTTTCATAATACCAGTTCCACCAAAAGGACGAATATCAATCATTTTGCACAAAGCTTCGAGTTGTGCTTGAGTGAGGGCATCAAGAGTAACATGATCTTCAAATAGATGTGAAAAGCGTAAGATGTCTTCATTTCTTGCCAATTTCCCCGACTCTCTGACGGTGGCCATAAACGCCTGAAACTCTTCAATACTCGGCAAGTCTTTGGCCTCGGATAAGTTTGTTAGCTGAGCAGTGTGTATGATTGTATCTTGAAGGAATTTAGCCATCTTAATCCTCGATTGGAGCCTATTCCTGATTTTCTTTTCCTACAAAAAGACCATTTGATTGGAAAAGTTATAAAAGAAACCATACCTCTTCAGCTTTATCCTTGAAAGTACTGGGTAACATGAATGGAAAGAATTTAAGATAAAATGGAAGCAAAAGTTCCATAAAGGGAACAACAATGAACACGAGGAAGGGAACTAATCGGACAAGATCGACACAAGTTCGAATGAGCTAAATTTTGCATCAATCAAAAGAGTGAAAAATTTCCGAACCTGATTACGCTCACGGTCACCTAGTTTCTCGCCTCTTAGAAGTCGATAACACATGAAGGCAGCAATTCGAATTTCCACACCAAGAAGCCGAAATCCATTGTAATAGTGAAGTAATTCATTTTTAACCTTAGTCCAAAGGCTTTTCTTGGGCTTTTTTGGTTCAATCTATAGGAGTGAAATAAGATAATACAAATCGCGATGTTACCCCTGTTTCAGAGCTATTTCCTGGAATACTTGGAGTGGAACTTGAAGGAGGCTCAGTTGAACCTGGGGCGGGTTGAGAATTTAGTGTCTTCGGAATAGGAGGTCCTGTTGCCGGGACAAATGGTGGAATAGTTGGTGGGATCGGTTTATTATTAGGAACCGTTTCCAAGTCATTGAAATTAAAAGATGTATGGAAATGCGAATCATAAGCAAAATAATTACTGGCTGCCATTTTGTCAAAAATCTGCGTTCTTGGTTTATAGATGGTAGTGCTTTTCAATGGATAATGCCGCATTATTAATGGATTAGTGCTGGATTGAACTATACTTCGGAACGGGACTCCAAACTTCTCCATCCGTCCATAGTTCATGAAAATTCGATTCAATCTAAACGATTTAGTCAAATTGAACGCTATTCAAACCTTATCAAGCTCATGATTTACTAAGCTTCCGGCACTAAAAGCTTATTTGGTGCAGATGCTTCAGCTAAAGAAATTAGCTGAACTCTGGCAAATACTTAGCATACGATTGGTCTGCACTTCTCCGCGTTTATTGGATTGCGAACATCAAGGTTGACCATTATTTGAAATATAAATGTTATATTTTAATAAATTTGAAGAACAATTATACACTAATCAGCCCATCTTCTTTGATTTTCGTTCAATATAATACGTTCTATTTTTGTTTGGAATATTTTCTTTATAATACTTTAATAAAAGATACATCAAATGCGCTTGAACTCAAGAATGCCTAACTATAAAGAGAAGTTATTTTACTTGACCTTTAAAATACATTTATTTATTTATTTCAAATGGCAGGCGTCTTGATGG